GCGGGGAAAAATATTTGCAACGTGAGCGAAATTTGTAATCACCCGGCAGGTGTTGAAAATAATGGGATGAGAAAGTAATGGCACGAACAATAATGGGATGAAAAATGTGCTCGCAGGGCGATGCTGGCGGACCGGTCATGTTCCGCACTACGAACGGGACTGTCCTGAACGTCGGGATCAACTCGTTTGTCATCAAGGGCTGTTTCACTCAATTCGGCGGAGCTTACATCAAAACAGCGAGTAATTACGAGATTCCGATGCGATTCCCTTTTTTTTTTCCTCGCGTAAATTGCAGAGAAAATGTTTTTTTCGTTTCAGACTATGTGGACAGCTTCATCAAGAGCAACACGGCGGACGCGCTGTGGTGTCCAGCAGCCTGATCGTTTTCGCCGTCCCTTCGTTTCCTGCGTGTTCTTTTTTAGTCTTATGACTTTTCGTCCTGGTCGTGCAAAGTGCATGTTTTCATCGAGTGTGAATTTGATTTTTGTTCTTCCGCAGCCAGGGTTTCCTTTCCGCAGCCCATTGTTCGCGGTGGAAAAGGGCGAAACATGGAATTTCGCTTTCTCGCTGACCTCGTCCGCATTTCGGTCGGTTGCGGATATTTTTGGGAGTTCCAACTGTAATTGACTGTGATGATCTGTAATGGAGATAACTTTTTTTTGGCTTCTCGTGCGCGTGGGCTTCGTTGCTGAATTCCCAGTGGTGTCGTGTGGCCTGATCCTTTTCCTCCGTTTTCCAGCGTGTTCCTTTTCGTCTTCAGACTTTTCGTCCTGAGAATGGTTTCGTGCGATTATATGCTTTTATCGAGAGTGAATTTGATTTTGTCGTTCCATAGCCAGCGTTTCCTTTCTTTCCCGCTGTTCGCTGCGGAAAAGGGGGAAATCCCGGAATTTCGCTTTCCTGCTGACCTTGTCCGCATTTCGCTCGGTTGCGTGTGCGTGGAGAGTTCCAACTGTAATGGACTGTGATGGACTATAATGGAGAGGATTTTTTTGGCGTTTGGACATCTTTGGCATATTTATTAGATCTGTGACTTCGTGCCTCGTTCCTTCCTGAAATCGGAGGTTAATAAAGAGAATTCTCCCACACGTTCCTATGTGTAATGTATTCGAACAATTACCAGAGGATGTCTGGAAGCTTTTCGAGCGGCATCTTCCGTAATATTTCAGAATTTTAAATTAAATTTTCACGTCGATATGAGCAGGAGACGGATCGCTTCCGAAGGCTTCCTGAAACGAGGAACCGATTACTCGCGCATTCCATGAGCAATTAATAAGATAGTCAAATAATAATGATTTGCGAGACGAAATTGAGCTTCGTCGAGCGGGAAATTTCCTCGAGTCCGTTCCTCGTTCGCTTTCCTTGCAGCCACGAAAGACCGCATCGGAAGCGAGACGGTCTCAGCCTACACATAGCGAGTCTGAACGGGCCTCCAACCTCCGCCGCGACCTCCGCCCAGAGCGAGAAGGAAAGGCGGCCGTGTAGATGGAAAGAGAAAACTGGACCGGGAAGTTGTCGCACGTGGGGAAGCTGGGCGGAAGAAAGCGAGTGGAGGTCTTCGCGGACGGACCTCAGCCACAGCCATCCTGGAGTCGCCTTGAGCACTGGCTTGTTCCTGTTACAGGAGAGGAATCCCATGCAATATGGACAATTGACGGCGGATTTCTTTTTTTTTTACGTGCTGGCTTCTGGGTCATCTGTGAAAATCGGATGTAAATTTCGTGTGCATTTAATTGAAACCTCGGCGAGGGGCGAAAGAATCGAAAACCTCATAGGAATATGTAACCGTCCAGGAACCAAACGAGGCTCTACGCTTTCCCATCGACGACGGAAACGAAGTACGAAACGATCGCGATTGCATCGGGTTGCCAATACTCGCGAATCGTTATTGTCGTCGAGGAATTTCCCTTCCGCGAGTTGGTATCCGGCATTCTTCCCCTCGCATGCCCGTGTGGTTACGAAGTAGAAACCGGCCAGGCCGTATTTCCGCCTCATAGATGCAAGGGAGGAAATTCATGATCGTTAATTAATCGGACTGCGATTCTACGCTATTCTCCTGCGAGTGATCGTCTCCTTTCCTGTTTTTTTTTTTTAGATCCTAAATAAAAAACTCATTCGCCAGAGTCGCTCAGGTGGCCAGAGTTAAAAATTTTTCTTTGCGAACTGGCACTAGATTTTTTCTTTATTATCATTGAGTATCTGCATACGCTTAGCGTTCCCAACATATTTAATTACTTTATGTGCCTACCTACTTGCACGTCGCACGTGTCACTGCAGCATTTCTGACTTCGACGAAACAATTCTTTGGGGGGGGGGGGGGGAAACAAAGTCGGTGAGTTGCAAATTACGCGTACGGATTAAGAAGTATCATCGCGAGGTATGTCAAGTTGCACAAAATGGCAGCTGGTAATACTAGGAAGTTACATTATTATTATTATGAATTATTGATCCTTCGAGTGAAGCCGAATGAAGTAAGTTTTCCTGCCGACAGGGGGATATCGGAGTCAAAACTCCCGGAATGGAAGGTAAGAACGAGAAGGAAAGCGGCTGAACGCGTCGAGTGCGAGAGCAGGGAATCCGAGTCTGGATTCCGTCGTTTCCTCCTCCTGCCGAGGTTTTTTGCAACCTGCGAGATGTGCGACTGCAAGTCGATGGATTATGGATTAAGGATTAAGTGTTGGAAGGAATCGCTGTTCGTGATTCGTCCATCCGATGCGTTCCTGTCTGTAGATAGCCATTTCTCGGATGAATGCCATCTCTTGAATGTAAGCCATTTCTGGGATAATTATCTTTTTGCGGCGATCCTTCGTTTTAGCCACTGTGAGGAACCCTAACGATAGCAGGAGGCGAATGCAAATCACGAGGAAAGTGTTTTACGGAACGAATGAAGAATGGGCTGAAAGGAATTCGCTGGCGAAAACCGCGCCGGAACGCGAGGCGGCTCGCCCGGAAAGTTCGCGAAATTTCCGACGCGGACCGGGAAAATTCAGTATTACCGGGTTTCTGGTCGTTGAACATCCATTAAGGGCAACTGCGTTCGCAATTTCTGTGATCCCGCCGCCAAACGATTCCCATTCGCGGCATGGCAGTCGCTCGGTGCCAGTCACGATTCGTGCGTCTGGTCGAGGCGATTGCACCTGAGGCGATTGCACCTGAAGCGATTGCACTCGAGGCGATTGCACCTGAGGCGATTGCACTTGGTTGCATGGCTCATTGAAACGTGGGCGTGGCGAAGCCGTTGCTCTCGTTTAAGGTGAGGAATATCTGCTCACGAGAGTGAGAGCGAGTTTCCTCATTTTTATTACACGGTGAAAGGAATTAAGAGTTTCACCTTCGCGGCTCTAAAAACACATCAGCCTTGACGCTGTCAAGCCCTGGATCGAGGAAGTGGCTCGGGGGAGGCCGTTCGCGTTCCATCAAGACTCTGCTCCCTCTCACCCAGCCTGCACGACCCAGGAGTGGCTGGCCGAAAATCTTCACGATCGTGTAACCCCTAACGTTTGGCCTCCTAGCTCTCCTGATGTAAACCCCTGGACTACTACGTCTTGGGCGTCGTCGAGAGGGAGACCAACAAGCATGCCCGTAATACCAAGGACTCCTTGAAGGCTGCCATCGGGGACATCATGGCAAACATAAATAAGGATCACCTGATTGCATCGAGGCCGTAATCGAGGTTGAAGGCGGTTTTATTGAATAGCCTTTTCTTATGTGTATGTAAGAACATGTGTACCAAATTCTATGAAAATATATTGGTTTTTCTACTGAATATTTTTGTTTTCCTCAAAGTCAAATTTTGTTCTGAAATAGCTGACGCACCCTGTATATCCCAAAGCATTTAAATGAAACTCTCAGCTGGAATTTTCAACTCATATTTCGGATCAATAACATTGAGCGCGTCACATCACTTACACCATCCCCGTTCCAAAAATCCATAACTTCCCAATATACCGAATTTCAAGAGGTTCAGTTCTATAATATTCAAATCAGACACGCTGTACTCATGTCTAACAGAGATCCTTCCCATCCTCAGAAACCCCAATTTCCCTTTATAGCAAAGTGAGCAATCTCACTTATAAGTGAGTTCTGCTCAGATGATTTTTTGGGTTCTAACAGCCTCTTTACTGTTCTGTGTAAGAGTTCCTGGCAGGGCCGCGCAGAGGTTTCCAGGGGCCCGGGGCAAAACTAAACCAGAGGCCCTTTTAGGCCCTTTGGAGGTTCCCTTTGTGATCCCTTGATTCGTGGGGCCCCGGGCAAATTGCCCCAATTGCCCAGCCTCTGGTTCCTTTTGTGATAGAATACTGAAATTTGCTATACATTTGTTATACTAAGAATGATTTCGAACAAATATTTGAGGTTCCCAGGAAAGAAGGCTCCCAAGATCCCGTACTGGCGTACGGGATCCTGGGAGCCTTTTCTGAGAATGGGCAGGGGACATTTCAATAGGTTTTTTTCGTATATGCATGACTGCAGGGAGCTTCCTGAACAAAATTTTTTAAGGAAACTTCAGAAAATAATCTTGAACCCCTGAAAGAATAGCATCATGCAAGTTTTCCTATGTTGCCTTATGATGGATTTTATCCTTAAAAAGCGGACAAGGACGACATCTTCTTTCATGAATGCACATTTTTTGGTTGTTCTGTGAAGCTTTGGTTCTCGGTGCAAGTTGAATTTCCAAAAATGTCTTCCATTTTTTCAAAATTTCCAGCACGTCCCTAACGTCCATATTGTGTCGAAATTAGGCTCATTCTTTCTCGACGCTATATTGATTTATTGCTATATTGCAACTGCAATTCCGCGGAAAATTAGAACAATATGTAAATGAATTACTTTTGGAGAGACTGGATGGAAAGGGCTATGATGCGAGAGCAAGGCTTACAACATCAAGGACATTGAATGCAATCGCTTGCAGCGTGGCGTTGTGCAGTGCAAGGTCCATCTTTTCCTCCTCTGTAACGCCCATGTAGACTGCACACATGCACAAATCTTTCTCCATGGCGGTCTCCTCGTAGATTTCCTTCTTCGCGGCTATGATGTGTTGGCCTGCCACAACTTCGTAGAA